ATATTTAATACTTTAGTTTTAATCTTAGTTTCATTATTATGTAAATACAGCTGAAATACAAAAAATTCTGGTAACAAATACTTGATTTTAATTTTTAAATTGTGTTTTAGAGATTAATAATCTAAACATTTTTAAATAGACTTACCAGAAGGTAATGAGAAGATAAAGTTTTTATTTTGCATAGACTCATCTTTATTTTCAGTTGTTAGCTCATAATAGTGAAAAATCTTACTTTGTTTTCTGAACATGGTTGTTCATAGGATGTTAGAAGCTAGCAAAGTAATTGTTGCTGAGTCTTCAGCTTTGAGGTGGAATTCTGATAAAACACCCACAGCAAGCATTTTAGAATGCCTGCAACTTCCGCATTGCTAAAAAAAGACACCCACATCATTTGTTAGGCTTGGAGATAATAGCCGACTAGGAGTACACATCTTTGTTATTAGGTGCCCCTAAGTTGGTTACTAAAGGCACTTGACTGCTAACCAGAAGGCTGGCGGTTCAAACCCACCAGCCACTCCTCGGAAGGAAGATGGGGCAGTCTACTTCTGTAGTGATACTGCCTTGGAAACCCAAGAGGGGTCACTATGAGTTGGGTCTGACTGGATGGCACATAACAACAAGTTGGTTACTGGGCACTCTGGTAGCATAGTGCCTAAGGCACTTGACTGCTAACCAGAAGGCTGGCGGTTCAAACCCACCAGCCACTCCTCGGAAGGAAGGTTGGGCAATCTACTTCCGTTGTGATATCATGTTGGAAACGCAAGGAGGGGTCGCTATGAGTCGGGTCCGACTCCACGGCATATAACAACAACAAGAAGTTGGTTACTGCTCCTAGTGATTCTTATGCACAACAGAGTGAAACACTGCCGGGTCCTGTGCCATCCCACGGTCACTGCTATGTTTGAGCCCACTGTTGCAGCCACTGTGTCAGTTAATCTTTTTGAGTGTCTTCCTCTCTTTTTTTGCTGACCCATTACTAAGCATGATGTCCTTCTCCAGGGACTGGTCCCCTCTGACTACATGTCCAAAGTATGAGTCTCACCCTCCTTGCTACTAAGGAGCATTCTGGCTGTACTTCTTCAAAAACAGATTTGTTCATTCTTCTGGCAGTTCATGGTATATTCTATACTCTTCCCCAACATTATAATTGAAGGACAGCAGTCCACCTTAGGTCTTCCTTGTTCATTGTCCAACTTTCACACGTATATGAGGCAATTAAAAATACCAGGGCTTGGGTCAGGTGTACCTTAGTCCTCAAAGTGACATTTTTTTTCGTTTCCTTGAAATAGATGTGAGAAGACACATGCCTTGTCTGTATATTGTAGGAATTATATTTTATTGTAATATTTGCAGGTTATGTAATATTTTAAAGTCTTTCATGAGTTTCACTGAAGAGTATTAAATATCCTAGAATGAAAACTAAGAAATTTCTGTCTACTTTAATGTTAACCAAATTAGCAGGCATACATATTTTGTTCTGCCGTTATTTGATTCATTGAACAATCAAATCACCAATCCCAATTCAGAGTGATTATCTTTTATTGTTGTTATATGCTCTTGAATCATACCCGACTCATAGCGACCCCTCCTCAGGTTTCCAAGGCGATATCACTATGGAAGTAGATTGCCCAACCTTCCTTCCGAGGAGTAGCTGGTGGGTTTGAACCACAGCCTTCTGGTTAGCAGTCAAGTGCCTTAGGCACTACACTATCAGAGCTCCCACTACTTATTATTATTATTTGAAGTTGTCTTTGAGTCTCTGTTACCAGGAACACACCCAACAGTGGAAGTAAAATGTGTGGGAGTTGCTCTTAGAGACCCTTGGTCAGAATTTTTTTTTTTTTTTTTTTTACTGTTTATAAGTATCTCTAACAAGTTTTAAGGGTTACTGATTTCCATGTTCATACCAAATTCTAAGCAGAAAAGGGATGATAGCAGGGAAGATACATTCACTGAAAGGAAGAGTGACAATCTGCAGTCTAATACAAAGGAAGAAATGAGAAAGATTACCAGAATTAGTCACTTCAAAAACTACAGTATGACCAAGCAATTTCATTCTTATACCTGAGAAAAATGAAAACATACGTCTGCAAAAAAACCTGTATACGTTATTCATAATATCCATATTTATGAATAAAAATTTCTTATTTTGCTAAGAAAATGATGGACTTTCATGCTAAAACATGGATGAACTTTCAAACATTATGTTTATTTTAAGAAACTATGTACAAAAGACCATATATTGTATGATTTTATTTATATGAAATGTCCAGAAGAGGCAGATCCATAGAGACAGTCATTTAGTGGTTGTCCATGGCTGGGGGCATGGGGAGTGATTGTTTACAGGCATGGAATTTCTTTTTGGGGTGATAAAAGTGTTCTAAAATTGATTGTGGTGATGGTTGTACAACTTTTGTGACTTGATCCTATAAATATCATTAAATTTTACAGTTTAGTTGAGTGACATGCATAATATATAAACTGTATCTTAGTAAAGCTGTTTTCAAGGGTATAGCAGATTAGGGTTAATTTTAGTTGATAAGGGTGATTGGTTCTGTGTGTGTTAGACCTAAAGGCATACCTCACTGAATTACAGTATAAAAGTCATCAATAATCATTAGATAATAGTTATGAAATTGTTAGTAAGGAAAATTATTATGTCTTTCGGGATCTATTTTTGTCCCCCCTTTTTTTAAGTATATTACTGTCAGAAATGGAAGGTGACACAAACAGTTAAGCGCTCAGCTGCTAACCTAAAGATTGACAGTAGCACAATGGAAGAAGGCCTGGCAATCTGCCTCTATAAAGGTTATAGCCAAGAAAACCCTATGGGGCTGTTCTGCTCTGTGACATAGGGTTGTATCAAGTCAAAATCAACTCAGTGGCACATAGCAACAACAATCAAAAGTGGTTAACAATAAATAAAGCTCTTAGTGATCTTAGAATGACTCATTTCTAAATATTTCACATAATTCCATAGTATTTATTAATACAAACATGATAATTAAAATTTGATTTTTTTTTCTTTTAATAACATTTTAAAAATGTAGGTAAAACAATTTTCAGAAAATATCCTTAAATTACTGTATCTGGCTTTTATAATGTGTCTTCTATTACTTGCTAATCTAAGAATTAGCAGTAGTTAAGTTATATGTAAATATGAAGTCTGAGCTAATGTAGGTTTGGTAGCACTTTGAAAAAGCATATAGTAAAATTGCATTAATTAGAATTAAAAGAGTATTTGGCTAACAGATGCTGATCAAGAGAAACAGGAAATCATTAGATTTTGCTCTGAGGTAACAGCTTGCTATAGCCCATTTATGTGAAAAGAAAATATGTATTCAAAATCCAGTGACAGGTATTAACCAGTGAAAACAGTTTTTAAAAAGTACTGTAGTAAATATAGACAATTGTTGACAGGATTCTTAAAAGCAAACCTATTGTCAGAGATTTGATTCCTGGAAATTGCCAGACCTTTCTACCATGGCACTACTGGGCTGATTCGAACTGCCAGCTTTTTGGTTAATTTAAAAAAAAAAAAAATTAATTTACTATAAATATAAGTTCTGACCCATGTGGCCCATGTCTCAGAGAAGAATTGCACCATACATTTTTCTTGACTGGACTGTGATCTTTATGGAAACATTGCCAAGACTTTCTTCTGCTTTGCTGCTGGGTGCGTTCGGATGGCCACACTTTAAGTTAGTAGTAAAGTGAAAGTAGTTTGCATTACCAAGGGATCTGTGTATAGAATTAAATGATAATTTAGTTGGCAATTTTTACATTTGAGGAGAGAAAGAAATACAGCTGTCTTCATTTTTTCTGTAGCCTCCCTGCCCCAAACACACACACACCTCACCACCACCACCATATAGCTAGTGTTTCCTTCTAGGTTTTTTAAGTTCCAGTTGTTGCCAAACCAGAGTCCTAATTAACTGAAAAACCAAACTCACCGCCATCAAGTCAATTCTGACTCACAGTGACCCATCCCTATTGGGTTTCTGAGGCTGTAAATCTTTATGGAAGTAGATTGCCTCATCTTTCTTCCACAAAGCAACTGGTGGGTTTGAACTACTGACCACCTAGTTAGCAGCCAAATGCCTTATCTACTACACCACCAGATTGGGCCATTGTTATTTAAGGGCTCCTCAGACATTATTTATATTGTTTTCTTACTCAGAGAGCTGGTGGTTGGTTTGTACAATGTGCCTAGATTTGCAGACTCGTCCATTTTTCAGGCCTGCCAAACATCAATCTTAAGCCTGTGTGGGATCTAGAATTAAGATTCTTAGAGCTTTAGATATACTCTCTTACTCACTTTGGATCCCTGCCAGTGGATTCAACCAGAAACTAACAGGACTTGTGAATGAATGATAAGGCTGAATCTGAGAAAAATTACACAGGAAGGAATTAAGAACAGTGGTGACTAACTGGATGCAGATAAGGAACAAGTAGAGGGAGAGTTATGAATAAATCATGGGATCCATGGGAATCTGATATTGCTATCAGGGACTATGGAAAACTATGCTCATTGGTGAGGAAGAAAAGTTTTAAATTGTTACCTTTGAAATTTCAGATGTGGGGAAGATGGCAACTAGCCAGTGTGAAGTTATGGCTAGAAAGTAAGCAAATTGTCAGAAGAGGTCTGGTCAGAAGAGGTCCGAATGACTGACTCAACTAGGCTATACTATGAAAACACTATTGATTGTGTTTTTCATATAGCACCAAATTTTAATTAAATTTTGAAACTATTAAATGGGTTTACTGTCATGGTAAGATTTTAATTTTTAAAATATCTTAATAAAAGTTTGCCTCTATTTTATTACTTTATATTTTGCTCAGGTAAAATACTCAGAAATCCTCTATTCTTGAACATTATCTATACTGCTGTCCTAAGTATGGTTATGTGTATGTTTTACTAATGTTTGTTGTGTTTCTTTTAATCGAGTGATTTTAATTTAAATTTTAAATCTTTGCATATTATTTGCTTTTATAACCAGGAACCTTTTGAGGATGGCTTTGCAAATGGAGAGGAAAGTACTCCAACTAGAGATGCTGTGGTCACATATACTGCAGAAAGTAAAGGAGTAGTGAAGTTTGGCTGGATCAAGGGTGTATTAGTAAGTATACTTACACTTAAATTTTATATTTACAGCATTATATTTATTACAGAATCTTCCTGATATTCTTACCAGTTCTCGAGAATGTTTCTTTTTTGAAATATCTTATCTGACTGCTTTGGAAGAACAAATTAATAACTTGAATCGCCTTTTCTTTTGGATATTAAATTCAATAACAAAAATATATCTTATTATATAGGTTTACCAACTTAGAGCACTACGCCACAAGAGCTCCCTTGATTACCTCTAGATTATATTGTATTACTTATTCTGAACTCATGTAATATCACTTTTCAGAAACTAAGCGGGAAGCTAGTGATATTATCATCTACTTTAAAAAAGTTGAAGAGAGTGTAGAACTGATACATGCCTGCTTATTGCTATTCCATTATCTTTTGAAAAGAAGTGTCTGGAAATTAATAGACAACAGAATAAAGGAGAAATTTTTGTCATAAGGGTTGAGTTCACCTTAGTGGATATATTTAGGTGATTAAGGTACAGACTTCTGCTTCTGAGTGTTTGAATAAGCACTAAACTGATCAAGGTTGTTGTTGTTGTTGTTGTTGTTAAGTGCCGTCGAGTCGTTTCTGACTCATAGCGACCCCATGCACAGCAGAACGAAACACCGCCCGATCCCGCGCCAGCCCCACAATCGCCGCTATACTTGATCCC